GAGGGTGGAGGTATGTCGGCACTATCGATGAGCTGCAAGATATAATCGAGGAACGAACTGGGATAGAAAGGATGTATTTGGCCAAGGACTTGTCACCTCTCATGTGTCGCCACGCCAGCGTCGCCACGAGAATGAGCTGGGCTGCGGGCCGTCGGACGACTCGGCTTGAAGACCAAGCCTACTGCCTACTCGGAATTTTCGATGTCAACATGCCCTTGCTGTATGGGGAGGGCGAGAAGGCTTTCATCCGTTTACAGGAGGAGATCATGAAGTCCTCTGATGATGAGACTATCCTGGCATGGAATTGGATGGGTGGATCAAGAACGGTTAGTCAAAGTGTTCATGGCTATCTAGCAATGTCACCAATGTGCTTTTACGACTGCCAAGGTCTGCGTCCTTGGCCCAGCAGTGGAGGAGAAGCCAACTTCTCCTCGACGAACAGAGGTCTTCAGATCAGTCTGCCCATAATTCACAGGGGTGGAGATAGGTACGACGCGATTCTCAGGTGCAATACCAAGATGGACATCGACCGAGCAGTGACCTTGCCTTTGGTGAAACTGGGGCCCGGCCATGGAGGAATATGGAACCGAGTTCCAATCTTCTCCCGTTCACACCAACCCACGAGCATAAAATTCGTTGGAAATGATACATTGTATTCTACCACAATATGCATTTCATCCCGCCCCTGGTGGCCCCAGATCATCCACGACGCGGAAGCCATCCAAGGGTTCTACATCCGCAACATGCCAGCGGGATGCTTCATCACCCATTCATACCCCGCTGATGGTTGGTCGCCGGCAGACAATTATGCGACCATGAAAGAAACCAACAGCGGCTACGAACCGCGCTATTTCTTTGGTTCCTACTACTTCGAGCACTTCGTTATTAGTCTTGAGCATATATCAGACAGATGGGTGTGCAAAATTGCAAGGGATAGAGAGCCTACCTTCCCGACGCGCAAAGCGGCCCTGGCCAGGTTAACGTTTAACGAACACGTGGAGCTCATGGATCGTAGAATGACTGTGTCTGCGAAATTAGAGCCTATACTGAATGGCTTCCTCATCGTTATCGACTTGAGCGAGAGGACCGAGTGGATATGGGAATTTGGAGGCGTACTATTAGGGATATTGGGTGCCGGGGCGACCCTCGCTGCTGTGGGATCTGTAACTGGGCCGAAAAAGAAAGCTCGTTGAGATAAACGAGCTCACAAAGATTAGATAACAAGTATTTAGAAGCTTCGACACGAAATGATTGATGATTAGAATTAGACTCAGATCTTATCTAAACTATTTGAAATGGTCCTGCTAGGAGTTATAATGGCAAATTGACTCGTTAGATTTTCAAGTTCTGAGTTCATCAAAGGTAGTTTCTCCCGGTGTCTTTAGTCCTAGATCCGTATCTTGGAATCCTATCCATCCCTCATCGTACAATGCTTTTGCTACCGGATACACAGCCCGGGCAAAATTACTCCGTTGAGCCAACACAAATGCCGGGGTGATGTCGTTGTGCTTGAACCCATGTCTCTCTTTTCTCGGGTGGAATGCATGTAGCAGGTACGTGCAAGACCAGTCATGGGCCCATTCTGGAGTCCAGCCAAGATAGGGAGCAAGACCAAATAGCCGCGCATCTTCTTCATGAGCATGAAACAGCAGGCTCACATCCTCGCTGTCCCAGCTCCCGGGCGCAAACGCATCTTGGTGGAGTATCAGAATATCACACCCCTCTTCCCTCTGTTCTCCCACATGCGTAAGGGCGATGTTGCTATGCGTTGTCCACTGGCCATCGTATACCCGTGTCATCCGTTCCATCCAGCGCTTCATGACCCCACCGCCCTTGATTGACATGAATGTCCCGCTGTTCAACTCACCCGCATGCTGCCTTCCAGCGACGGCACTGTAGCCACGTTCTCGAAGATCTTTGATATCTCTGAGTGGGAAGACGTCCATGTCAATGTAAATCCCTCCGTAATCGTAGACGGCCTGTACCCTGACAAAATCCGACTTGTGCTCAATATTTTGAATCTCCTTTCCGTTCTCTGCGTGCGTTGGCACCTTGACTTCATTCACAACCAACACAGGGAGCGTCAGGAGCAACGCACTCCACTTCCCAGAGGAACCGCTCCTGGCACGGGCGAGAGAAGCGCTGTCCGCGTTGGTGTGTAGATATACTGTGTCCGGGTGCCAGTAGTAGTGGGCAGAGTATATGCTCAAGAAATGGCTAAACTGGAACTGCATATCATCAGACGAGCGAGGGAGAAGGTACACATAGTGCACAATATTAGGAATCGTATGATTGCTTGTCCGCTCGTCACAACTCCACTCGCTTTTCTCTTCTAGCCTGCATGTTGAACTGAGCGCCGGGAGAATCCTAGAGGAGCGAAAAGAGATATTGGGCGGCTGGCGGAAGGATAACAGTAACCAGAAAAGAAAAATAGTCACTACCCCTAGGACAGAGCGTTTCTTGATGAACATTGAAATTGACAGATTGGGCTCCCTCTATCACATTCCGGTGATCGAATATCTGGCGTGACAGTCCATCATGAACCTGAAAACGACGAGTGTAGATGAGCTGGCCCAGGGGGAGGGGCGTGTTAAATGAGCCGCAATACAAGTACAAGTGAAACTTTAGCACGCGTCACGTGTCAATGACAGCACATTCGCGGTCGATTACGGGCATTAGTTGATCAGTAGCGCAAAATTGGAGGCCTATAATTAGCCCTGTGGCACAAAGTCAGGCACTAAATCTGAATCATCGCATACTCGACGAAGAGGTGCAATCAATGCATGTAACAGAATGGCTCATGGTCCGACTTCCAGTTTAATAACAATAATTATGAGGTGTTCTTATTGAAAAGACTGCCAAGTTCTATTTGCCTGTTTTGAGCGCTGGTCAATCAGCTTTATGATGTAGCAAGTTTGACCACACAGTTTTTGAAGGAACTCTACTACTGGCAGACCTTCTGCACTAGCAATCCGTCAGCCTCAGCTGGACGATAAGTTCTGACATTCGGAGTTCCCAGAATACGAACTTCCGCCGTTTCAGCGAATTGCCTAGCCGAAATAGTCTTAAAGCATTATAATTCCAGGACAACAACGACAAATTCCCCCGTGATGCGAACCATGCTGTTTTATCGATCCCATTACCTCGAATACTTCGATAATCGTGACATGATTTCTAATATAGCCGCAAAGAGAAAAGCTTCAGAAAAAGCCTCCTCGCAATTGCCCTTGAGTCACTGGTTCGGTTCTAGGCAAATACAGTGACCTGGCATTCCAAACACACACACAATAGTTCTCATCCCCTACCGGGAGAAGCTATGAAACGAAGCCGTCATATGACGTAGAGCTAGACAACTGATGCCCACTTCTGCAGAATTGACTGAAATAGCACCCAATTTCGGACTAGTTTGTGGGGACCGCCCTTACAGCGAAGTTACATCGAAACTTGCAGGAAAGCCGAGACTCCGAAGGGAACACTGGGTAGGGTAACGAATAAGAGGATGGTTACTCACAGCAGACTGAAATTGTACCCCTATTGGGACTACCGTCGATAATGAATTATTACATCTTTCACGATGAGTGAAAATCTTACACCTCGGTGTGACTCCGTCCGCCCATGTTAACATAAAGGTTCGACGGCATCAGCCGATGCTAGTTCTTCGCCATCTATAAATAAGAGAGCGTTCCCATTGTTCAGAACTCAAAATTTCACTCTCATCGATATGCAAACACCCAAAATGTCCTCCCCCACCTTCATCACACTGGAGCATGCCATGCCCCTTGAGGCACGCCTAGCTCTAAGGCAAGAGCTCCTTGATGCGGATGACAAATTTGTTCTTGAGCTTCCCAAAGTCGAGCTACACGTCCATATTGAAGGAACCTTGACACCCGAGCTGAGATGGGAGCTTGCCAAAAGAAATGGCCAGACACTGAAGCTCGAGCGCACCGGAACTGTGTATACCAGTCTGGAACAGCTGCGAGCATCATATACCATTATTGAACCTCGGCCAGGCCATAGTATTGACAATGCCGAAGAAAGTTTTACTTTCTTCGAGGCTTACTATGGTGGCTTCGATGTACTTGTTACCGAGCAAGACTTTTTTGATCTGGCTATGAATTACTTTCGACGAGCCGCTTCCGTGAACGTTCGCTATTGTGAGCCTTTCTTCGACCCTCAAGGCCACACGCGCCGTGGAGTTTCTTGGGAAACGATGATGGGGGGCTTCCGCGGGGCCCAACAGGAAGCAGAGAAGAGCTTAGGTGTACGTTAAAACCGGGTTGTCAATCTTCGCCACATGCTAATCAAGAGAACAGATCAAGTCGAATTGGATTATGTGTTTTCTCCGCGACCTATCAGTGGAGTCTGCAATGGAGCACTATCAAGCCGTTCTCTCATACCGTGATATGGTCGTCGGTATTGGTCTGGATTCGGACGAAACTAATCGGCCCCCTTCTTTATTTGCAGATATATTCGCCTTAGCCAAACAGGCTGGCTTCCGCCTCACTGCGCACTGCGACGTGGGACAGCCAACCACGCTCGAAAACATTCGCCAGGTGGCATCGGTCCTTGGGGGATCCGGTGCAGAGCGTGTGGACCATGGTCTGAATGCTGCACAAAGCCAAGAGCTGATGCAACTAATCAAGAAGAACGGTGTTGGCATGACGATAACACCGTGGGGCTATCTTCGGCATCAACCAGTTGATGAGATTTTCCCAAGAATCCGAACATTGTTTGACGCGGGTATTCAGATCGCGATTGGGAGCGATGACCCGCCATATATGGAGGACTGTTGGATTCTACACCACCTACTGCTGGCCAAGAAAATGTGCGCATTCACTGACCACGACATGGCAACTTTGGCGAGACGTTCTGTTGACATGTCTTGGGCATCGGAGGCGGTACGGGCTGATATTAAGAACGATATAGAGAAGGTTGTGGCTAAGTACTTGAATTAAGAGCTCCGAATACATGTCTTTTTTTTAATCTCTCTTCATTCCGAGTTAGCCTAGCATTATGGTACGCCCGTACGTTCCATCTGGCACGAGATCACCCTGGGTACGGTTATCCCAAACATGCTCAAGAGTACCGACTGCGTTCCTGAAATGGCGGCATCCAACGGCTTCATACGCCAGTTTTAATCTCAACCTTATCCAATCCTTCTCCTGCGATTCTCCACTCTGAAGAGCAACCCCAACTTGGAAAATAGGCCATAACAAGGAGTAACTCCATGAGCTGACCGGCGGTATGAGTTTTGCGTGATGGAGGACCTGGCTCGTCAAATGTGATCTTTGCACTATGTTTAAAGAAGCCGGGAAGAGTTGTGCCAGATACGCCATGATGCCAAATCGCCAAGCTTCGACCATGTGCTTCCGAGATCCAGATAAGATTTGGCGGGATTCCCATTTTCTGAGACGATCCATCATGTAATCAAGATGTTTCAGATCCTTCTCCGTCGGATTATCTCTATTGGGATGTGATGTGTATAACATGGTGACATCCACAAGCATCTCAAAGAGGTCGATTGGACATGGAAAGACGTCATAGCCCCATTCTCTGCCGTCCGCGTTCGAGTGGCGATGGAGAGCCATGTTGATTTCTTGGGCCGTAAAGTTCGGAGCTCGTGAGGAAGATGTTGAACTGATGATGTCAAGCCTACAGGTAAAGTTTGGTTAAAAACACGCATTTAATCGGAACTCTCTCCACTGACCATACAAGCCGCTGTTCGAAATAATATCTGTTCACGCTCTCTTCATTCTGCCGGCCACGTAGAATAGCAACCGCCGCCTTGAGATGCGTCTCGAACTCGATGCAGTCCCCCGAGCACATCTGTTTGCGGTTAGACAGCTACTCATTAGAACATGTAACATGCTGAGGTCGTTACGACTTACATCAACCTGAGCTAGCATAAGTATGCTGGCTAACGTGGCTTGGTCCGTTGCTATGCTTAAGTCTTTCAGCCGCTCCCTAAGGAAATTCGTTGCACGGACACGCAGATACAAGCTCTTTCGCTCCAGCGCCTCATCTGAGTTTCTGGCTGCCATGTGACATGACGCTGATGCGGCGAGCGCGAACCGTATGGGGGGCACACTATCTATCAGCGGAAGTACGTAAGAGAACATTGGGTTGTCTCCTGATCCATCGCCGAGGTAGAAGATATTGCTAAGATCATCAACGTCTGTGGTTGGTTAAAGTTAGCAAATCCATAGTAGAATAGGGGTGAAGAAAGTTCCTTGCAATGGTTGACTAGTTTCGTTATGTCATTATCCTCAGTATGGGTTACGCTGTCTGCTAGCCAAGAGGTAGAATGAACGTCATCATTGTTCGTTTTCGCCTTTTCATCGAGTTGCCCTGAATCATGGCTGGCGGTTTTAGTAAGATCAGCCTGGTGCGATTCCGCTACAGATGAAAGAGTACGCCGAGCTCGTGCTAAACTTGCTTTTGATGTTGTGATCGAGCTGCTGCTCACAGGGATAGACTTTCCAGCAAGCTTCCCGCGCGCTGCTACTCCTGGCCATCTGGTTACATAGCCTTCACAAACCACCCCTCGGCGCTCACAGCTCAGGCAGGTCGGAAGTGTGCGATCGCATTTTCGGCCTCTTCGGCGACAACCCTTACACGCGGTGCCGTGAAGTGCCTTTTGGCTCATCTCGAAAAAGCCAGTGGCCAGCACGGTACAACTAGCTGGTCTGTTGGCTTTTTCTTGAAGGATGATTAGTTTTCCGGGCTGTTTTGTTAAATCAGGGACGTCGCCTGTCATGACTCATCCGAAAGAATTTGAGAGCAAGACTACGCAACCACTCTATGGAGAATAAGCGGGGGAGGATGCGGGGAGAGGCTCCATCCCAATTCACTAACTTCCTTCTCCATTCTTCCACGCCAAATCCAATCGCTCCTCTCTAAGCGATAAAAGTATTGCCGGTTCTGCATGTCTATATTCCTCAGGTCAGGGTATCTCACCAGCTCAAAATCATAAACGCACCGCTGCAAGTTGTAATTACTTATCTTATAACTCGCCTCAGACTCTCACAACAGCTCGAATAATTCGATTGGCTTTATACTTTGGTGTCTATAAGGCTTCTTCTCAACCTTCTTCCTTAACAGAGGGTTTATGGGTTGAGGATAAATCATTCGTCCCGTCTCATGATACCTATCAAACTGACAACCATGTCACAATTTTGCCACCCCCACGAACCCCCGATGCTTCACTCGCGGCAGATGGCCGGGATTTCAGTGATAGTAGAAGCCCAGTGCAGGGAAGACTTCGTAACCTGCCCAATCAGAGATGTCCATTGAAATTCCTGGTCGTTAGAGTGTCCGCCCAGTGCCAGGATTGTCCTACTCCTGGCGGGTCAGCCGGAGTTAAATTCACCTACAGGCCAATGGAAAATCGCATACCTATCACATCACATATCTCTTCAATGATTTTAGGAATATTCCTTTAAGGATAATAAACGATCAGTGGGAAAAGGTATCTCTACCTGCAGAATAAACCTCAGTTCGGTTGGTCTTGAAGTCTGCTTACGCAGCTATTCCCGTCGTTTGACGCCACAGTGCTAGGTTTCAAACGCAGGAGGTTAAACAGCTTCCTAATTAGAGTACAGACCTGGCCGCGTGCTTATTTCTTACATTCTTCAAAATGAATATCAACCCATAAGCAGAATATATATTTCTGCTTCTCGGCGTCAGCATTCATCAGCCCTTCTCATGCATTTCTCTATCTAAACGTTGAAAAAGCTTCTACAGGTACGATGAGATCCTTAATTGTCTCGAGCGGTCTCTTCTTTCTGGGTGTCGCGGCTCAAGCCTCGCACACCATCGACAATCCGCTTCCCGTTATAACGCCTCAATTCAATTCGCCGTCTACTGTCTGGAACGCCCTTTCCGAAGCCCTGCCCGTGGTTCCTTCTAGAATAGAGCCATTTGAATCTGGCTACTCTTTCGCATCGTGCGGTGCTGGAACCGGCGACGGCGTGGAGGAATATGACGCTTACAACATATTCTATGATGACTGCCCCGAGCCCTGGCAAGTTTGCCTTCACAAAGAAAACGGGATCTCCTTAGACTCGGTAGCCGAGGTACGTGACGATGAATTCCTTGTTCTTCAAGAAAAGCGACTAGTATCAGTGAGTTAACAAAAACGATGTGGAAGATGTTTGGAAAGGTGCCTGTAGGTTTTAGGCAATCCGTCCGTGACTTGACCGTTGGCAATAAGTCTGTTGCATTCTGGAAAAACACATCCCTAGTCATGTCGCCGAACTTTTGGAGGATCTATGTCATGATCCACGAATCTACACACGCCGTTGATCTGCTTAGCACGGCGGACCTCGTAGCTCTGGATGCCGGGACATATAGCTACTCTCAGGAATGGCGCGATGCGTACTATTCTGACAAAAGCGTCCCGACTACGGGTTCCAACTATCTCTGGGAGGAAAGCTTTGCCGAGATGGGACCTCGGGCCTTTTATGACTGGTATGTTGAAGGTGGGCTCGCAAATTTCCAGCCCAATTGGAATGAGGTAAGATTTGTTAACATTCATTTGAGGAGGAGGCCGAGCTAACATGATCACAGTTCGAAAACCAGCTGTCCACTTTCAAGTCTCTTGTTGGACACCGGGCCCAACTTGGAGGGACCTGTGAATTCCGCGTCGCCAATGAGCCTGCGGTGCCGACTTCAAGCACAAGCCGGCGACGAAGGGGACCCGCCCCTGACACTAGTTTCAAGTCAGACATCCGTGTTATTCGAGTTCCCGACAATCTACCAACCTTTGAGTTTACCGAGTGATTGCAAATTGGAGCCACAGGGTTTCATCAATATTTTTGAGGTTGAGAGTTGCGCAATCGAGCATGCACGTTTATCATCTACTTCAGGTTATTCTACATCATATTAAAACATTTGACTTTACCCGGCAGAGGCTCTTCTTGAAGCTGAAATCATCTAGCCATTGTCACCTATCTGCGTGATGTCTTTCTATGTTAATTCTAATACTGTCTCGTTGCATCCTGATTTGAGTATAATTGAAGTTCAACTGTATATGGGTACTTCCTCCTGTGTTACAGGATTTGCTACTGGTTATCAAATCGCTTGGGCAGTTGCAGATTCCGGTTGAGTCCGAATGTTGGGAACCCAATCATCTTTGCTTGGTTACTTCACAAAACCCCATCGTAATGTCCTAGAAGAGTCAATTATTTAAACCAAAACTTCATTTCATAACCACCTATGACTAAAGTACATTTAATCACCCGATTTACTCACTTCCGACACTCTTTCCTTTCCATAACCTCTGACGGCATTAGGCGTAGGGTAGCATACTCCTCCGCCATGTTTGTGTCTCAATTGAATTCGAGGGTGGGGGCCAAGCCCAGAAAAGGGGCAATTTAACTTGGCTCAGATTGCATTAAGCGGTGGCTTCTTATCTGAGTCCATTACGCAGGCAGGGTCATGAGGGTGAGCGGAGGACTTTAAGCTCAAGAAAGTGAAACTTGGTCGACATAATCACAGCATAAAGTAGCCATCCTGTAGTTGCAAAACTCATAGGTAAACAATCGCTATGACTTTATATTCAATCTTACAAGAAAACGATCCAATGCATAGTTAAGTACGTGATTACGGTTCTTGCTAGTTGCGATCGAAGGATAAGTTGTTCAACAATTGTGAATTGATATTTGGACAATCGTGGGTAATAAAATGGACCCAAGCCATGTCAATAGAAAATTGGAATGACAGCATTTTGGGATCGTCGATGGCGGAACTCTACATCATTAGTACCGCAAATAAGGTTATGGGACGACTGATGGGTTCACATGCTCTTGATCGGCTTTATGCCGAGATCCAAAGCCGCAAAACTGCAATCTTGTCAAATGAGTGATCGCATTTCCTTGATGGGATACCTGTTCGCGGACCCCAAGCAAGCAGTACGAAGCCCGGATGTTGGTTTCAGGTTCCGCAGGGGGTACCCGCTCGTTACGGTGGGAGCTCAGCCTTGGCAGAAGGCCGGCTGGCTAACTGAGCGGTTACGACCCCGGGATAATTTAGATTGAAGGGGGGAAAGCTTTTCTGAGCACCCCACCTGTTTCGTTTAACCATCTGACCAGGAGTTATCTTGTTTCAATCCACGTCACCGTCTGCTTGGCAGGCTTCGTTTCACAAGGCTTTGAAGCTGGATCAGGCAACCCCACAGCTGGAATCAACCCTCCGAGTCCGCAAAAGAGTAGCTGTCTTATCAGAGCGTCTTGGTCTCTTACACGGGACCCAGTATAGCTAATACCTACAGATAGTTAAAAAGTACTTGGCTATCCTACCTTTTCTCATAGTGTTTACATTCAATCAGTTTCTTTCGTTGTTCCTTCTCCTCATTCGCTACACAGATTCGCGCTGGACGTGACTATCATTTATTTCCCACCACCTTGTCCACCGAGATTAAACAAAAATGCGTTTCGCTACTTCTGCTCTTTTAACTGCTGCGGCAGCCACATCCGCGGCAGCTCAAAGCGTTGTGGGAACGGCATACGGGTTTGCAACCGGCGTGACGGGCGGTGGTAGTGCAACTGCCGTCACTCCCTCTTCGGCCTCGGAACTGGCCTCGCTTCTTTCTGACGATACTGCACGCACGATTATCATCGATAAGGAATACGACTTCACTGGCGAAACCGCGACTGATTCTGGTTGTGACCGCAAGAGCTGCAGTGCAGACAATGGTGGTCAGCTGTATCTCGGCACTTTGTCTTGTGGAGGCTCAGACAATGTGGCCGTCAGCTCTATCACGTATGACGTTGCTGGAACTGAGCCTCTTTCCGTTGGCAGCAACAAGAGCATTCTCGGTGTCAACGGCAAGGGAGTTCTCAAAGGAAAGGGGCTGTCTCTGAAGTCTGGGGCCAGCAACGTCATTATTCAAGGAATCGAAATCACCGACCTCAACCCTGGCATTGTCTGGGGAGGTGATGCTCTTGAATTCAAGGGAAAGAACGACGGAGTTTGGGTGGACCACAACAAATTCAGCCTGGTTGGCCGCATGTTCATCGTCACCCATTACGACGCCACCCGACTGACCGTCTCCAACAACGAGTTTGATGGAACAACGACCACATCAGCTTCCTGTAATTCAATGCACTATTGGACCGCGATGTTCTATGGTGACGGAGACCAGGTCACGCTCGACAAAAACTATTTCCACAATGTTTCAGGTCGGGCTCCTAAACTTGGTGAGCCGAGCGTGAAGGGAACTTTCCAAGCTGTTAATAATTACTTCAGCAACATGCAAGGCCATGCATTTGACGCGTACGATGGTGCTACAGCTCTCATTGAAGGCAACGTATTCGATAATGTCAAGACCCCCTTTACCGACCAGGCTGCAACCGTCTCTACACTCTTCAGCGCAGACTCATCTTCAGCGTCTTCTTGCTCAAGTGCTCTTGGCCGCGCCTGTGTTGCAAACAGCGCTTCCAATGGAAGTGGAGATTTGCCTAGTTTGTCTTCTACTAGCTCTCTCAGTTCCTTCAAGTCAACCTACCTCGTTGATCCTATTGCCGTTGACCAGGTTGCTAGTCATGTGCAGAGCAATGCTGGTCCTTCCAACTTGGGATCAAGCTCTGGGGGATCCGACAGTGGAGACGACTCAACACCTGTTTCGTCATCGGTTGCAGTCTCTTCATCGGTTCCTACCGCTACTACCCTGTCATCGGTTGCAGTCTCTTCATCAGTTCCTACCGCTACTACTGTGTCATCGGTCCCCTCTGCAACTTCAGCCCCAACAGCAACCGCTTCTCCTGCTCAAACTTCAGCTCCTGTCTCAGGTGGCGACTCTGATGATAACTGCAGCGACGATGGTTCGTCCGGCAGTGAGGACGACACCAGTGGATCCGACGACACCACAGAAATTGCCCCTTACGGCCAATGTGGTGGTCAAGGTTTTACGGGAACCGGTAAATGTGCCTCGGGCACTTCATGTGTTAGCCACAACGAGTGGTACTCCCAATGCTTGAGCTCCAGTGCCCGGCGCAGAAAGAGAGCTCTTGTCATGAAGCCAATCTTCTAAGTCCATAGATTCCTTCTTGGTAGAGCAAGCCTTCAGCCAAGAATTAATATAAAACACTATCGACTTTGATATAAATGCAATTGAGTAACTGGTGTATTCTAGAATCTAGCCATGATGTCTTGAGTTTAATAATCTATGCCTGAGCTTGCCCACTAGCCAGGTATTCCTTGCTGAAAGGGTAATCTGAATAACCGATCTTTGACTGCGGGATATAGAAGGTGTTACGGTTATAAGGACTCAGCTCCAGTCCCTCCTTGACACGGTACACAAGGTCCGGGTTTGAGATAAAGTACCTCCCAAACATAACCACAATGCTCTTGTCAGGGTGCTCTACATCCACAACACTGCGAGCGGTGCCGGGGTTGAACCCTCCTGCAAGGAGAATGGGCCCATCCCAAAGGTTATACACAAAGTCGAGCGACTCAGTGCTTGGGATATCCTCAGCGCCGGAGACCCGCGATTCAACCACATGAAGATACGCAAGGCTTAGGTCTCGCGCTTTCTTGATGAGGTCCGAAAACTGGGGGATTGGGTCCTTCATTTTCATGCCCTGGAATGTACTCCAGGGGCTGATGCGGAAACCAACACGCTCGGCCCCAACAGCGCTAACCATTGCCTTCATAACTTCATGAGGAAAACGAGATCTGTTTTCTACACTGCCACCGTATTCATCATCTCGCTGGTTGCTGTTGTCCTGTAAGAACTGGTCAAGAAGATATCCATTCGCGACATGGCACTCAACTCCATCAAAGCCGGCCTCGATGGCGTTCCTCGATGCGTCAGCAAAATCGTGGGTGGTTTTCCGTATCTCCTCGACGGTCATGGCGCGAGGAACAGGCGCATCCGGCGAGAAAGGAATAGCGCTGGGACCTAGAATCGGAATCCCTTCCTTGGCCGAAGTCTCGATCGAGGCCGCACGGCCACCTAAAAAGAGCTGACAGTATATGAAGCTGCCTCGGCGGTGAACCTCATCCGTGATGTCCCGCCACGCCTCGATCTGTTCCCGGCTCCAAATTCCGGGTGCATTGTCAAAGAGGCCGCATGCAGACGAGGCAAAGGTCCCTTCGACGAGAATCAATGTGCCTGGAACAGCAGCCCGTTGCACATAGTATTCTTTCATCAGTGGTGTTGGGATACGATCGTCCGTGGCCCTGAGGCGAGTGAGTGAAGGCATGCCGATGCGATGCGACACTTCAATATTGCCTATTTTAAGAGGTTTGAATAGGCGAGATTCAGACATGATGGAAGATAAGGGTTGATCGCGAGAGTTCTGGAAATGGATCCAATTTGCAAGTTGCTTGTTTTTGAATGTGATGGAACGAGTCTAAAGGAGACTAACTACTAGGCTTTTATACTTGAAAGATAATTCGTACGAGGCATTGGAAAAATTAATTCAATGGTCTATTCTATCTATCGAATGATTTTGGATTTATCAGCAATATTTGCAAACGCTGGATTCCAGAGTGCCGACAGCTTCAGTTTGCGGAACTGACATATTTCCATTCAAGGGAATGAGGTGATGTTGTGGCTGACTTGCTACAAAACGCTAGGGTTAGTGACCAATAGGATCATGTAACATTTGCCGGGGTGAAGTGTTTAAACAGGAAACATCATACTACTTAAAACGGAATGGCTTCGTTTAACCTCCCTTCCATCCGCCGACTTCTCCACCACGTACCCTCAGTACCTGTATAATAGCAGAATGTGCTTCATGGAGATGGATGGATGTGATTGGTGCAGCTGGCTTGGGACGTTGTCGAATGTGAGGCGGCTAAGAGCGTACGATAATTCAATGTCAACTAGATCTCTCAAACTCCAAGCGAGGTAGCATTGAGCAAAGAAGCAGATAGAACGTCTCGATTTGTGCCACTTGGTTTAGACCCAAATGACTACTTTCTCTTTATTGATGTGCTTCTTCCCAAAATCCTCTTACTTGTGATAGGAAGGCCTTATCTGACCATATAAACTGCTTCATAATGGCGAGAACGTCAGGCCATTCATCATACCTCTGCTCGAATCTAGATGCACGATTCAAAGTCAGGAGCATCAGATATTGTTCTCGAACACATCCTGACGGGGCAAAAGCACCACCAATGTAGATAAGCCAGAGTAATATATCGGGGTGAGAATCCCATATGAAATTGAAATTCTCTTGTTGCAGCCTTTGCAGTAACTTCAATGAGAGTTGTGACTATGTTTCTCCAAATCAGTTATGTCTGATATACGCCCAAAGTGTATAGTGACTTCGAAAATTGCGCTAAGATATAGGACTTACCGGAAACACTGAAGCTCTCCAAATTTTGCAACGCAGCATGGTTGAGCACAGATAAGCGGCAACGTTACAACACTCCAGGAAACCCGAAGTGCTTGGTATACTGACCAACCTCGACTGAATGGAGGCCTGATGGTTGTCAATCTGCGCCATTGACATGATGTCCTCTGCTTCGAAGTAGGAAGAGTCCCTGATATTCTGTAGAGAGTGAATATCTTCTAGTATTTCGATGAACTCCGGGTTTAGATGCTGGAGAACCTTCTGAAACCCAGGCTGTAAAACAAAATTATTAGGGGCAAATGGGTCTCTTTTCCAGTGTAGCTCGTTGAATGTTTCGTGGTTCACGATCCGTTTAGATCCAGTCATCACGCATGAATTAAGATCTTGCCTGTATGCGATGTAAGTATACCAAAATCCCGTTCTCGTGATGGAGAATTCAACTTGGAGTGTCATTTACCAGAAAATGGCTCGTTTAATTGCGTCTGTCAGGTGAATTCCCTGGCTTTGGCATATTTTAAGAAGCTGTTGAATAGCATTCATATGAAGCTGGACCTGAATCGGCATTGAAAGACGAGCCTTTGAGTGTCGACAATATTAGCTTCATAGCAAGACTTGTGGGATAGGCGGGTACAGACTTCAATTCCAGCAAGCAGGACGATGGTTGCCAAGGTGGACTCAGAGGTAGCCACATCTAGGCGACTCATTCTCTCACTTATTGAGCTAATAACCTTGTTTTGAAAATTCAGACCCGCAATGTCAAGTGTCTCATTCATAGCGAGGGAAAATGTGAGCATTGCTGCATTGTGGAGCGCAGGATCACCTGGGCGAGCCCGAAACACTTGGATGAAGTTGAAAAGAACGAGTTCATCCGCAATACTAAAGACTGGTTCCGCAGAGTGCTTCGTTTTGCCTACATTCATCTGTGAGCATAAGGTAGGGCAATGTCCACTCAAGAAACCTACTCTGTCTCAAACATGTTTGTAATCTTGATGATCCAGAATCTAGAATACGAATCAAGTCGATCGCAGTGCCTGTACATTTCACTTCGGGCGATTCGATCATGCAATTGAGTCGTGTCTTTCTCGATGCTGTAGCCAGACTCGAATCTTGGCCCCAAGATAGAAGGCGGAAATTAAGCCCAGACTGTTGCTGCGCCTTTCGCTTTCTCTCGAGAGCATGTTTTATGGCATGTGATCGAGCTAACCGTTTATTTTTGCGGTCTTCCACACCATCCGGACATTGAATTGAGACGAAGCGGAAGTTGCCTAGATTGCTGGTCAGACGGATCTCAAGAAGGGGCGGCAAATTATTCCGCTACGCCTAGGTCTAGGAAGAGTGACTTGCCATCGGTCGCCATTGTTCCTCTCGGCTCTGTTAAACCTAAGTTTGTGTCTAGATGTTGACATGGGACATTGGTTGACGAAAGGAGAAACCGGAGCGATCGGCGGAGTTTCCATCATTCGTAGTCTTTGCTGACAAATCCAATACGTCAAGGGAGCAGACATCCAATGGCCTACCCTATATGCATACGCTGGCTCGACATTTTTGCCTTGCAGCGAAATTTTCCAACATATTCATTGAAGGGGTACTCCTAAAAGATTGACTATTAAGCAGGTATTGTATCAAATTCCATCATAATTTCGAAAGAGGTATTGTTGCAATGATATCAAGATATTTCAAGATCCTTTTCATACCTAATCACAAACAGAAGGACTAGTGATAACGCTCTTCATGTCAAATCAAAGCTTCCAGGATTGTATGCAACGTCCTTTTATTTTGAATTAAAGCCTCCCGGGGATGGATTATTCGAGAACTAGAAGGATTGGCTAGCAAGCCACGAAAGTGTAACTGACAACTGCTCTATGCCTCCTCCTTGATCCGACCACGTATCCAGCCGATCTTTCACCTTGATCACATAGTCTTGCCAGTTGATCGGTATCTCAATAAATTTTGTCGATTCTGTGTTGAGATTCTTTGCTCGAGCAGCGGCAAGTAGGCATAGAGCGTGATTGAAACGCACACGACATCCGATCCACGAGCCACAGTGACGATAAAACGGCTTTTCTGTCTCAATGCGATAAGCATTCAAACGGAGACCGAGAGAAGCTTTTGCGCCATAAAGACGCCTTTGAGGAACTGTCAGCTGCGTTGCATGAACATGGACGCAGATGTACAAAAATGCTCGGCAGAGTAACTCTCGAACTTCAACATAGCGCTCTCGCATCAGTTTGACCAGCTCTGGCTCGGCTTCGGAAGGGGGGGAATCCGGAGGGAGATTGAAATAGAGGCAAGGGGGTAAGCATTCCAGCCACCTCTGGAGCTGTTCTTCCAGCTGCGTGAATTCTTCGGCGACCATCCTTGCTCCAGATGAATCAAGACTTGGTGAGAGCTTAGTCGCAGCATTTCGGGCACGGTTGAGCAGTCTCCGCAGTGATATCTCAGCAAGAAAGTAATAAAAGGCCGTCGGTGCGCAGTTGCGCCTGTCTCGAGCGTGGCAAACAAATAATCGCGATGTCGGGGTCTCGGACGGAAAGCTAGGCAGCTGGAATGAAAACTGCGAGTCCTGAAGGGTGCAGAGAGGTAAATGTGGGAGTTCATATCGCATTTCACTTGATGACCTTGATTAGACATTTGACGCCAAAAAGGGAGGCAAGCAGACTTACCACTCTGCCTTCATACAAGTCCAGAATAAGCGCTGCTCGAGACCTTGTAGAATATAATTAGCGGCGCCTACCACTTGGGAATTTGCCTTCCCGCGTACTTAGCTCTTGTTGTGACCTCTCGCTACCATCAAGCGCTTGTTTCTGATGGTATGTTTCCCAGAGCATTGACGCGGTCCGGAACATCTTCCACCCCTGTATTGGTTCGAAATTATACCAGTACCAAGAACTGGGGTTTGACACGTTAGTTAGACTGTAGTGTTGCGAATTAATCTTGAAGACTCACCCCATGAGACAGTAACATGAAACTCCAAGCAGGGAGTCGTCTTGTAAAGCGTAAGACACCCGGCTTTGAGCCATGGCAAAGTAGATAGATGATTCTTTGAAACGATGCTCAGGCACCGCTACTGTGTGAGTAGGGCTGCCGTTTTCGGTATTCGGAGTGGAACGCCGTTCGTCTTCAGGGTAGTTGCCCCAGATGGCAGCTAACGCGAAGATCGAGAGCACAAAGCATGACGCAACGGAATCTTTCAGCCCATCTCGCAACACTTCCAGCACTAAGTCATCGAACTTCTCGTTATCAACGAAAGGTGTCAATGGCTCAAATTTTGACAAGTATATGTCACGTAACTCAAGAATGCGTTCCGGAGATGGATGTAAAATTTCTAGAGACCACGCCTTGCATTAACATCATCACTATCCAGATTTTTTCTAGAAGATAGAGAAAGTAACAAACCAGTGGAATAGGGGTTCATTTTTGCAGAGAAAACGGAGGCTGGGAGTGTCCTGATGAGTTTGTCTGCAGGGAATACATTCCATTTCAAAATATCGTCCGATGCTGTGATTGGAGTCGAGAGGACATCTTTCCGTGAATGAGCTTCTATCTCATCACCAGTCTCATCGAGATGTAAATCAAATGGTCGAAGCGGATGGTTATTTGTACTGTAATTGCTAAGACGCCCTTGATCCGAGAGGCTCGCAATAAGCTGGCCTTGATCTTCAATAGCTTTCAATATTTTACCGCCCCATATCTCAAATCTAAAGAAAGATTGTTAGCGGGTTGACAATCGTGGATAGGGTCAAGTTGGTGTCACATTGACCTACACTGACGACGGGTCTTTGTCCGGGTACAAACAGCGCCTGCCTCGCTTTCGACACTTAGCACAGCTTGGACGAGTCGCGTCACAGCGGGTTTTGCTGATTCTACAAGCGTCACATGCTACGGCAGTTCTGGTCTGCTGCACTCTCTCGGTTTCACTATGCAAGCCAGCCGGTCTGGAACGCTTCCTTCGTGTGGCGGCCGTTCCGATCGGTGGCGTGAATTCTGAAACATTTGGTTCTGGACTTGACATCGCCGTTGAGGGATTCCGTGCGGACATAGGCGTGGTTCGGAGAAGTTGTCTTTGTATTGGTGAATCTTACCACTCCGCTGATGAAGAGCTAGCCCCCCTCCCTTTCGGAAAAGTGCATGGCAAAAGATCCTTGCATTGCTTACATTTCACAAATGGTGAAAGTGATTACCCCGCATTTGACCTTTCTACCGACCTCGCTCTTTGCAGAAATGACAGTGAAGTGACGGAAGATGACATATTGCAACATAACATCTTGAGATAGTGCGTTCTCTAACGTATTTTACATAACTGGCTCCGTGGAGTGAGAACAACTTGCGAAAGAATTGCGTTACAATAATTTACGTGAGAAGACATATTGAGGCTTTTGGTGTAAGCGAGATAGAAACCACTGTCATTGAGTGAACAGATCACATCGACTTTTTGTCTGCAGTATTGGGTTATCTTGGGATGCCCAAATACTAGGTAAGGAAACGATTTAGCAGGTGGACGCGCGGCGGAGGCTCCCCGACTATCTCATCCAGAAAGCTGCAATACGACGCTGCAACATACGGCGGAGGCTCCCCGAACGTCCCTGATTGGCCGACATCGGGGAAGGGTACCTACAATATCTACTTCTGCTTTGACAGTCACGATGTGCATGAGGACCGGAAATAATAGAACGAGAGAGGGAAGAGTGTAGCAGGGATTGGAACTCGGTCTATTTAAACAGACGGTAGCCCTCCTACGCTACGATTGCAACAGCAGCTCAACAAAACTGAAAGAAGCAACGATTCACCAATTCAGTTACTTTAATCCAGCAAACCAAGCACTTTTTGCTTTTGCATTCACCATGGCTACCCCAGAGATTAAGAATGTTCTCGAGAGCAAGACCTTCAAGGTCTTAAACCCTGAACAGATTGAATCATTCATGAAATTCGGTTATCTGCGCCTCCCCGGGGCCATCCCTATCCAGAATTGCGACCTCTGGACGGAGCACGTCTGGGAACGCCTGGGGATGGACCCGGATGATAAGTCCACCTGGCATACTGAGCGGAACCACATGGCCAAGTTGGGTGTGGTTCCCGCCAAGGAGATTGCGCCGCTTGCTTGGGAGGCAATATGCGAGCTTTGCGGAGGAGAGGACAAGATTGCCAAAGGTGGTGAAATGTGGACGAACGGGTTCATTGTGAACTTGGGCTGCGAGGAGATCGAGGGCAAAACCACTCCGCCTAAGGATCTAGAGCTGTGGCATGTTGACGGCGACTTCTTTGTCCACTTTCTGGACAGCCCGGAGCAAGCCTTGCTAGTCATTCCATGCTGGACAGACGTTGAAACAAACGGGGGTGCGACCTGGATTTGTGATCAAGGGCCAAAAAGGATTGGAAAGCATCTGGTATGGTTCACTGCTAAATTTCTCAGCTGCATTTTCGCTGCAATTTGGAAATATTGCTGACGATTGAATAGTTTGACCATCCAGAAGGCTTGAGCCCTGTTATGAAGGGCCGGGATGAGCCTTACAAGCCTTATGCCTCGTACAATCATTGCGTTTCGGTCATTCGTGATTGCCCAGACGAAAGCTTTCATGAGATGACAGGCAAGAAGGGCGATGTGATTCTTATGCATCCACTTACTCTCCATAGCGTAAGCCGAAATGGCCGGCGTCTCAAACGTAAGCATTCGCCTCCTGTCTGTTGTTTCAAATTGTCTATTTCCAGATATTAGACTGGCTCACATGTCTTTAGGCATCATTTCTAATCCTCCCGTCTCTCTTGCGGCGCCTTTTCAGTTTAATCGAGCGAATCCAGCTGATCACAGTCTCATCGAGCTTAAAACCATACAAGATGTCGGTGGCGGTTTTGAAAAGTTTCGGGATTGGAAGATTACCGGTGCGCGGGAAAAGTTCGCCCCTTTGACTGTCCCTGACAAAGAGAAAGCCCGTGACCGAGAGGTGCAGAGACTTGTCGACCTGGGCATTACAGTTGGGGAGCCCATCAGCCAGATGCCTCACTCTATGGTCTACCAGTCTTGAATAACTTTGGAATGCGAGCAATTGTATTATATAGTTGTTCGTTCATTAAATGAGTAATATCGCATGGAAGTTAAACTTACTGAACACCTCCTGAATCAGACTGGTTGTTGCAAACTAGGTATGGGGTTTATTACACAAGAAATAGGATTTGATATTAAATACATCGCTGTACCATCTCTAACAACCTAAGACTATCCATAAATGTACCTTCAAAGTGCATTGATTGTATTGTATCCATCTCTTAGCCAAGTACTACCGTTCCACCTGTATACCGAACGGCCACTTTTTACTGTTTCTTTGGCATCATGACAGACGGGTCTCCCTCTCTCCAGATGACCTTCAATCCAAACTTCTTGATCTTCCATTCATTGGCATCATCCTTGACAAGATCAAGGGAGTATTGCCCACCGACCAGAAACTTGGGCCCATCTGGCTCCCGGCCCCTCCCAGGAGGGCAATGCTGAGCCAGCGAGGTGGCAGTGAGGAAGGCGGTATTCGCTCCGTCCTTGAGATCCACGCGGACATTGCTCACATTGTGAGTGGTATCCATGGGTCCAACCATTTCGAAGATGTGTTTCCGAATCAGAGCGAGATTGGGGAGAGCTTTGAGTTCGCCATCGTGGATTTCGGCCGAGGCGTCTTCTCCAGCCCAACCGGAGTTGAAGAGCTCGAGGTCATTCAGATCGCAAGCAATGGCTACGCGGGAGAGGACGTCGATGACGGCCTCACGGGGGGTGAGAGACTCGAGGTGGGTGGGTACTGTGGAAGACATTGTGATAATTCTGATTGAAAAATGAAGCGAAAGAAGGGCAGTGGTTTTAGATAAGCCTTTGAGGATATTTTCTGAGATGGTTCGGATTAAAGGTTGCTGAAAACCCCAGGTAGATATATAGTGTTTTGGATGGATCTTGATCTGATGAGTTGTTTGTGGGGTTTCTGATATTGTGAGTCGATTGATTCTCATCTCTCTTTTATAACAACAGCCAGACACCCTCTTGGAGATCCCGACATGCTGTAAATACCGGAGGTGTGGGTTGTTGTAAGCGACGGGCATTACCAAAGCCCGTGGCCACATAAAACCGGCACCATCGGCGTTTTGGTTATCACCGTATACATATCCTCCGGCGCCCCCAGAAAATCTCCGGCATCTCAGGAAATTTCACCCTCACGGTAAATATTTGCCAGCAGGCAAAGCATCATGGAAGACCAAAGGACGGCGCGCGCTACCAAATGGGGCGCGGCATGTGCTCCCTGTGCCGCGGGCAAGACGCGATGCATTCGCAGTGACTCTGAATCTCCGGGCGCCTGTGATCGGTGCCGGAAATTGGGGAAGCAGTGCTCTGATCGGGCTCCCAGACTGAGGAAGAAGCGACAAGCTAAGACGGCGTAGGTTTGCTCGTTCATATTTCCCCTTTCGTACACCACCACGATGAACTCCAAGCCGACGATCCATAACATAAAAGCCCGAGGATGCTCGAGTGACTGGGACTGGACATTATCAGACCCCGAACCATCTATCATGTTCTCTAGTAGCTAATAGTGTTCAATATGACAGAAAATTACCTCAGTCTACGGGAATTTCCAATGACCTGGTAGAAGCATTCGAGGCCTTGGGCCAGAGCAGTATTGAGACCACGCCGAGCTTCAATCAGCTCGGTCCATCGTCTCCAGCTAGGACAGGATCTCAAGCCCAAAGTAGACCAAGCGAGGAGAGTGCGCCTAGAGCCCCAGTTCTAGGCGTGGGATTTGGTCCCCCTCAATCATGCACCTGCAGCACGCCAACGGACAATGAAGACCAGATGCCCTTGGAGTCTGACGAAGCGTTACTGGCTATCTACAGGAGCCAACTCTCCGCCCGTTTTCCATTCGTCATTCTTCCATCTAGCTCAACGCCGAGACAAATGCTGGTGGAGCGGCCCTTCCTTTTCAAGGTGGTGAGGATGGTGGCCAGTGTACGCAGTCTATCCTCAATGAGAGGGCAGAGCCGGTCTGTCCTCCGACACGTCTCTGAAGCCATGCTCCTCAGGTCAGAGCGCTCTCTCGATCTTTTGCAAGGGATATTGGTCTTTCTGGGATTCTACCACTACCACTGTATGACCCATGCGCAATTCGGCAATCTCGTTCACTTGGCCGCGAGTCTCGTAGAGGACATGAATCTCAACGTATCTTATTCGCCTCAAAACAGCGCAGGCATCCTTCCTCTAATGCGGGGTCAAGGATCGAGGTCGAGGACAAATGAGGAGAACCGGACACTGCTTGGCGTGTGGTATATGAGTTCAAAGTGAGTTGGTATCCTAGCTTTTTAGTTGACTGTCGTTAATACTAATGTTATCTCAGTGCTGCTCTGGTTACCAAGCACTTAGGGCCAGCAAGGTACACGAAAGATCTGGATCACTGCCTCAGAGAACTTGAAAGTATCGCGGAATATGAGTCAGACCAACTGGCAGTCCAGCTGGTCCGCTTTCAAAACACCACCAACAAGATATTCCATTTCCATTCCAGAGATCAGCAAATGGATGAACTACCAGGCACCCAAAGAGTATCGAGTACGGAATGCTTAGAAGCACTCCAGGCGGAGTTGGACAATCTATGGAACGCGTCGTCCCCCAAGCTCAGATCCAACTGTAAGAAGATCCGTCGCTTGAACTCCCACGAGCATTGCTGACACAACTTCTTGGAGTAGGTCTTGTTTCATTTCACTACAGAAGTGCATATCTTCAGCTGCTTGAGCCTCTGCTGACCGGAGCACATCTCCCCGGTGCCGTATCCCAAACATTCGACTCCCTGTCACTCTCTGGTTTATTCAAAGTCAACCTCTTTTCGCATTTCACGGCTGCGCTGAAGGCCTGGTTCGACAGCTGGCTCGCCCTGCCTGTGTGCTCCTACTTCCACATGCCCCAGCCTGTCTCCTTCCAGCTATTCCATGCCTGCCGGGCTCTCATACGATGGGTCAGGGCGGCTGGACCAAACGCCATCAAGCGCCCAGACTCTGGCGTCAATGCATCGCGTGGATCTGCAGCTCCCAAGCAGGCACTCCCAGCAATGAGCGGGATTTCAGAGTGCCCAGAGCTAAGTTCCATAGAGCCTCCGGTTTCACACTCGTCTGCCACCATGCCCACGCAGCCTCTTGACTCACTGAAGGCTAAAGTCCTTGAGCAAGCTGATCTCCGAATTGATGTGTTTGGGATCTTGGACTCCATGGCTGCCCGTTTTGAGTCTGCGAGCAAAGAAATGGAAGCTGCCCAAGGAGGTACGTGGAGCAACAACACTTGGGACGTGGCTGCAGACCATATTAGGATCAAAAAGGCGAAGATCGAAAAGTGGTGCGAGATCACTGTGGCAGTGGGCAATGAGGGCCGCGGTGGGCAGTCTCACCAAGTAAACGGGGTTGTTGAGACACCGAGAGAATTCAGAGATCGAGACATGGCAGCGGAGTGGAGGATGGACGGCTTTGAATGGCACGTACCTGGAGATGGTCAGGAGAATGGACAATGGGAAGCCGAGCTTTTCGATGGAATCATGATGGATGCCGATATCAGTGCTTTCTTGGATGTTCCTGGGATTTGGGGCTCAGATACGTTGGACGAAGCGACGGGGAGACTGGCCACAGCGAATTCCTATTGCTAGTTGCGAACAGTAGGTGGTTGAGGCTTGCCCAAAACGCATGCAGAAGTATGAGTCAATTAACGATTTATAAGACTTCTAAAATTTCCTAAGAGTTCCAAAACTTCCCTCTGGTATCATTCTAATCACTTTTATCCGCCCGGATGCGGTGCTTGCTCGTCTATATCCAACCAAAATAAATTCTTGTAGCTGTGATCCGCCGCTCTGAAGATGAAAATGTATCAAATCTCTAGTATTCTATCATGCAGTCTGATCCCATAACATCCTCATTGAAGCAGAAGCTGGGTATGCAGCAAGCAACAGCGAAGCAAACTCGGGCATGATCCCCTTGGCCATTGCACCATGGACCGTGACGGGAGCCCACGAGAGCTGCTTGAGGAACTTGATTTTCCACTTCCCTTCCCAGTCTTGCTGCGCTTTCTTGTCCACGCACGGCGCTCGCTGGGCTCTCTGCATGAGCAGGTATACCAAGTCGATGTACACCTCGGCCAGCCAGCAAAGCGCATTGATCTTGTCTAACCGGCTGCAGGCCTTTGCAGACAGACTGATTATTTTCTTCTTGCTTAGCCACGGGGCTGCATCCGACACATGGTAAACAGCAGCGATGAAGATCTGAATCGTCTCAAGGCCGAGCATGAACCGGCCCGGGGGATCGAGGTTGCTGAGCTGAGTACGAATACGAAAGAGGACGTCCTTGGCGTCAACATACACGCCCAGCAAGCCCAGCATGCGGTTCATGGTACGCCAGTTACCAATGAGGGGCACGATGAGTTTGATGAAACCCGCCACTCGACGAGCGAGACTGGCTAGAAACGAGAGTCGAGCAGCCGAGCACAGTGGGAAGCGGACGCGTAGCAGGCGAAAGAGCCTCTGAGTGGCCCAGAAGGCCGGCTCCGGAGAGGAGAACGCATCCAGGGAGTCGCATGTGATGCGGAGGCAGTTGCTGATGAAGAAGAGGACCGTGTCAGTGCCGCCACGCGTGTTGATGCAGCGGCAGAAGTGGAGAAGCAGACGGTCGAATGCTGAGCTGCTCGTGTTTGTGGCGTTGGCCAGAGCTTCCTGGGCCGCGATGGCATCGGGAGCTGTTGGCAGGGCGGCTTCTGCCGCTGGGGGATCGACTTTCTCTACATGGCGCGCGTCGTATGCTGAAGCTATGCTAACAGTAGGGACCATGGTTGAGCCGGGACTGAGACTGTGCGTGAGGCCTAGTCATTGGGGTGAATTTTCATCTGAGCCAGGGGGATCGCCGACGGGAAGACGCGTCGCTGGGCGGTGATGGTTGGCCAGGTGAGCGACTCGCGAAGGTGGAAGAAGGTCTCGGGAAGTGACCCGGACTAGACTACGAGGAGCAGATGGATGATTAGAAGCGCTATCAGCGGTCAGGCCGAAAATCGGATTTTTTTTATCAATCAGTCTGTCTGTGGGGAGGAAACGTCTCTGATGTTGGATTTCGGGAGTCGGGATGGATTCGCTTAGCGCAGAGCTAGGCGAGACCAGTGACTAGATGGGTGCCGGTTCTGTGGAGCTGCGCTGAGGCAATTACCGTATATCTCGCATCGATGTGGATTAGGTCCTGATCCAGCAGTCCATGCGAAATCCATATCAAGAGGCATTGTGCCTGGTGAAGTGTGAAGCTTCAATTTCAATTGTCTCTTGTGCCGCTGAGACGGTATTTCAGAGGTGCAACGTCTCCGTCCCCAATTTGGCTGAAAGAGCCTAATTTGGTGGGTCCCGCCCCCTAAAAGTCTCGCCGTTTAGCGGTCACAGCGGCAAACATCGCCGAAAATGCCCTAATCGAGCGGAGTGACCACCTGAAGATGCCACTAACGTTCCACAAGGTGCTGAGAGGTGAACAATTCTCGCATACCCTGTACTTCAACGCAGGAGTCAGCTCATGACTCCAGTCTCCAACGAGGATATCTGGATTGCGCCTCACTAAGATCTTGAGGGAATTTTTGACTTCATGGTCGACTGGAAGGAATTCAAGAATGAATAATGTAAATGTATGAATTGAGAAAAAGGAAGTCTCCAACAATCAATATTAGACACGCTATCATGAAAAACTGTTGATGCTTACGATGCTCCTCCTCCTCAGATCAAACACTCAAAAATCAGGCATGCCCTTAATCTCGTCCGTAAAGGAAAGAATCCCACACCAGGACTGCCGCGTCCCAAAGGATCCCTACATAGGAAATAGGTGCTGGGGGTATCGGCCATGTATCCGGCTCAGCTTGAAACCATCCCTTGATCTCGTTCTGATGTATCATGGTCTCGTAAGGGTCAACTGTCGCCCGAGTCTGCCGCACTAGCTCGCATGCTTCGCGATACATGGCTTGCCTCCTTTCTGGATCCAAGGAGAGGTCTCTTATTGAAGGCAATATGCATGCAATGTCATGGTCGCCACTTTTAGTAGCCATGGAGCCATCGAAAATCGACAACGGCCTTAAAGCCAGGTTTTTTAGACCGGCGCGGATGTCAAGCCGCGCCCTCGGACTCACGATCCACAGAGGCATGTCTTGGTGTCCAACGTCCACGATGATTGTGTAGTCGGTCATTTCATTGAAGTAAGGGGCCTCGGAGAGCTCGCTCTTGGACCGAGGCTTGGCCCCGTGGGACTTGGTTCTGACTTGGAGATTCCCTAGATGTACCACGTGCTTTGGGAGAGGTAAAGAGTGATGGCCAGTAGTTGGAAGGCGAGGAGTCAGCTCAAAGAATGACAAAGCTGCGTTTGCGTCGGTGCCTTCTAGTCGAGTGGGACAGTACACGGAATACAGCGTCGCTCGGGACGTGAAATTGATGCGGTAGTCATCCCCGTTGGCATCGAAAAGAGGTATTGCACGCAGTTCTGGGCCGTGCCAGGCTGACAATACTTTTTCGGCCTTGTCTCGCGAAAGCGTTTGATAAGACTTCACACATTTCTGAGTGATCGCAAGCTGGTCATAGTCCGGATTCGACATGGACGCGTCTCCCTCAAATGTGCGAGTCTCAGGCGGCCATCGCTTCTCCGAGTCCACTGAGGTCTCCCATGGATTTTCCCAGGTGATCCTGTCAGAATGGCTCTCATGAGGTTCGAGAATGAGGTTTTCGAAACCGTCCTCGGGAGATGGCTTTGTGGCCACGCAGAGGTCACTTTCATCCACTGACTGGACTTCGCTGTCTGGGGGAGGGTTAGTAGGCTCTGGGGATACACGGCTTGAGATTTGAACCGACCTTGTCCATCATCCGAAAATTCTTCCTCCGAGAGTACCCGAGGTAGAGAGTCGTCGTCAAGAGCCATCGGAATGAAGTGGCCCAGGTAGTGAGGGAAGGAAATTGAGGCGCGACTGGTGGCACTGCGCTGGATCAAGATCGAGTGATGCTCACTGTGATGGTTTAAAAGAGAAAAGGATACTGGCAGCGTGGATTCAAGAATCGTGAACTCAAGGCGGATCCTCTGGGAAGCTGGCGGCAATGCCACAATTCGTTGCCTTCAAAATTGGAGGGGTGGTGCAGAGAGAATTTAGAGGAGCGGTGGCCATCCGTGGCCACACGCAAAACTACTGCAAGTTTAGGCGCTGGGTATGTTTGTGGCGCCATCAGGTATTAACCTAACGATGGGCATCCATTTGATGAATGGATTGACTCACTAGCGCATATCAACATCCCTGCTGCCGCAGGGATCTGGAGACCAGGACAGCGCATCATTTGGAACAAATCATCCAAATTGGAGCCTGAAGCTGTAGGGTCGATCACAGTTTGGCGCCGGCCGTTCGTAAAGTTATCAATTGGTTCTCTCTGGGTTGGACTATGGTTTCCTGCTTAGAATGCCAAACTTCCCCGTCTCGAGTCTGCGTTTTCCCATTCGTTCTCCAATCATCAGTCCTGACTAAGCTTGAGTATGGGCATGTCAACATGAATTGATGCATCCTATTGATCCGGAAGGGAACCGACTAATACCGTAACCCGTAATATAGACGTGGTAAAATCAAACTTCAGGGCGCTTGTCCCACACGAATTCTTTGACCATTCAAAAAAACCGCCCTGAGGCGAAGTTGATGCCCGATCTGCCTGGAAAGAAGAGCGCGATTTTCTCTGAAATTTTCATTCAATGGAAATGATTTCAGTTCCTTTCTGCAGCGTGGCTTTTGTTCTTTTTTCCAAGGTTCCTGGGGGGCGGATTGCAACATTGCTACGACGTTTAGTTTACTATCTAATTTGAAGGTAATCATTAATATCTAAGTATTCTCCATTTGAACAATAGACAAAGTTCGACTGCCATTACGAAACTTGGACCTCTCCTTGTGAGCCTATTCGACAGCTCGTTCTTTGTACTGGCGTGCGGAGTAGTACTCATATCGTGACGCACAACGAGCTCTGAACGATTTGCCCCATTTTAGAAGAACAGCAAATTGACCGAGTATAAGAACAGAAATCAAAAGAATGATGACAAAGACATATGTAATGCCAATTTTCCTGATCCACGGGGTGAGCGCAAAAATGAAGGCGGTGCTGAAAGCGTTGCGAACCACAGTTACACCAACAAGCGCGTCGCCGATGACCTGCCTCGGGTTAGTAGGTGATAAAGAGATTGGGGGTTTGGAATCAAACGTACATTTTGGTAGGAGTCCGTCAAGTAAGTCAACACAACACTGTTAATCGGGGAAATACCCATGTTGTAGAGGACGACACCGAGGGCAACAAGCGGCCATGGCAATCCGTTGCCGAGTCCAATGCCGGTTAAAATGGCACCAGCCGGAACCAGAGGGAGGAAAAGGCAAAAGCACCATAGCCGGGTCTCCGGCTCATATACACCCTTGTTGCGGCGGGATAGAAATACAACAAGCCAGTCGCTGAGCGGCCCTCCCACAACACAGCCAATAGTGACGCCAATAATCTTGGGTAGACTCATCAACCCAATTTGAGCGGAATTGAAACTGTAAGGAGGTTTCTTCATATATGTCGAAATGGAGGTGGATATGACATCCCCGAGCGCTATTAATATTCCATAGACGAGAGCAGTAAAGGCAACTGCAGGTATGGTACCAAGTAGGATAAAAGGCTGGTACATATGACGCGTAAAGGACTTGAGACTTGCATCAGAAGACACTCCTCTAGTCAGCGAAACCTTCTCTAGGTATGTTCTTTCTGGGATGCTCTTGTCAATTTGAGTCTCGTGCAAGTTTGTGGTTGGCCCCTTCTCTTCGATAATGGCGGAGGTATTGGTATCGGTTCTAGTTTGGATTCCATCTCCGTTTTGAACACCAGAACCAGACTTTCCAGATTTCTCTGGATAAGAAGCCCCTTCAGACTCAACGGGGTGAATCGATGATGCATTTGACTCAGGCTCGGGAATGAATTTTGTCTCTTCATACAAGAAAGCCACGATCAGGGCCAAAGCTCCAATGAAGACGGCATTCCCCCACCACACCCATCTCCAACCCCGACTGAGGGAAACATAGCCGGCGAGTAGGGATCCCAAAGGGGCCGCAACTTTCCACAACCATACGTAGATGCTGTTGAGGCTTCCGCGCTGGTGTACAAAGAAGACATCGGCAATCGTCATCTGCACCATGACTTCACCAAGGGCACCAAACCCACATTGGACGATGTTGATGCCCATCAGGTCTCCATACGTCATCTGCTTGGCTGACCATATCGCCACAAGAAACTGGACGATTGTGCTGACCAGGTACAGTGGCCGGCGCCCAAGCTTAAGTGCAAATGGGATGAGGAGGACAGATCCGATTCCCAAGAAGGCACAGCCGATGGCATAGCTGTTGTTCAACTCGTCGTCACTGAACCCAAGCTCCTTTTGCATGGGACCCCACGTCGGGGTCGCAGAAGAGGTGAACTCGGAGACCATGGCGGAGTAAAGGCAAACGATTGCAAAGTTGAGATATTTGCGCCACTTGGCCCAGTTGAGAGGGTCATTAGGGTTGGTGGAAGGTCGAGGCTGGAGAATAATTTCTTTCTTGCCAGACGCCGCGTTGACATCCTCGATCAGAACGGTGCCCGGAGGCCACATCGTGGCGATTCCAGCATCAACGTCCACTTGCGGAGGAGGCATGGTTCCTGCTGTGAAGTGATAATGCAGGGAAAAGAGTGTATGAGTCCGAGTAGGATGATATCTTGGTGTATGCTGATGGTAGAGTTATGCGTTTCCAATTTCATCCAACTTGCCAGGGCATATTTATAGACGTATTCGCGTCCAAAGGCTGCAGAATCTGGGGAACGGGGAATCAACATGGTTACAGCAGAAACAAGAAAAATGTTCGATATGCCACTGACTCGTGATTGGAGCGGTCTTGAGCCCGCCCACAAGCTATCTAATGTGGGGTAAGGAGATCTGATGCTAGGACGATACTTCACTAGATCATGCCCTTCTGGACTTTTGGTCATGGGTGAAGCGGCGTGGGGCCCGAGAGCCTGGCGCGTGTGCTTCCGCATAGCACTTAAAGCATGATAAAGTAGCTATACAGGTGTGAATCGGGGGGCAGGGGGTAAGAATAAGCCAGTTTGATAAGAAGAGATCCAGAAACTATCGACTCGATGAGAACTTGTTCAGCCAAGCTCTTTCCTCAAACCCATCCGACCGCCAAATTGCAGACATGTCCGCCTCGTTGCCTGTATCTGATTCTAGCCTCTCCTTCTGGCACCAAACCACGCGCTCATTTCCCTACCTAAACAATAATCGAGATGCTCCTGTCCCCTTGGCGTCTCGATATGCTGTCATTGGATCGGGTATTTCAGGGGCCCTCACTGCCTGGGAGCTTATTAAGAATGGTGTCAAGGGCGAAGACATCCTGATTCTCGAGGCCAGGGAAGCTGTTTCCGGTGCCACTGGAAGAAATGCTGGCCATGTGCGACCTGGTATTAAGTCAACTCCGGTCAGCCAGTGTGAAGATCTAACATACTATCATCTCATAGACGCGTTTCGGGGCTTTCCCTCTTTTGCAGCCAGGCACGGCCCAGTGCAAGCGAAGAAAATCATCGAAAGCGAGCGAGTAGTCCTACAAAAAGTGAAAGATTTTGTAGAGAGTAACGGAGTAGATTGCAACTTCTATGACACGACAACGATCGATGTTTGCCTTTCTACAGATTTTGCGGATCACCAATCTCGAAGCTTGGCTGCATTCGAGGCTGCGGGAGGGGATACATCACATATTCGAATCTATCGAGGCGAAGATGCGAAAGAGAGAACAAGGATACCTGCGGCTATATGCGCATATGAATGGCCGGCAGCGTCTAACCACCCTGCCAAGTTGACGCACTGGATTCTCAACGACGTGCTCAACAAGGGTGCCAAGCTATGGACACATTGCCCAGTATTAAATGTCACCAAGCATAACGGTGAGGGGCAAGCGAGCAATCTTCGTTGGGATCTGCATACAACCCGCGGCATTACGTCTGTTGATACAGTTATACACTGTACAAACGCCCACGCAGCTACTCTTTTGCCAGAATTAAGCGGATTTGTCACTCCCCTCAGGTCACAGGTTCATGCGTTTGTGCCCACCGCGGTTGCTTCTGCTGAAAGACGATTTAAGCAGACAATGTCACTTCGATACAGCCTTGGACATTACTTCTCAGTGAACCAACTACACAGAGACGGTACTATCATTATTGGTGGTTCTGGAACTCGGGACGATGGCGATATTGATGATAGAATGAAAGAGGAAATGATCACGTTTGACGATAGTCAGTATTCTCAACGGATCGCGAAAAACAGCAACAGAGAATTTAAAACCCTTTTACTTGAGCCTAATCCCGACAAGCTACGACCAGGAGAGGGGCTTCGGCATGCTTGGACGGGCATTTTGGGCATGACTCCAGATAATGTTCCCCTAATTGGCTCAATCGAGGGGCTGGAGGGGCAATGGATCTGCGCTGGATTCAATGGCCATGGTACGTATCCCATGAATATTTGGCCAGCGTTTGTGCTAACTCGGGGATATAGGTATGGCTAGGATTTTCTTGTGTGCTCCTGGGTTGGTGAAGTTGATGCTAGGGAAGCCGTGGTCGGAAACTGGCCTTCCAGAATGTTTCCAATACAGTACGGAAAGGGTGGATAGGGAACTGAATGCGCAACTTAAAGGGAAGCTCTAAGATACAAGCAAGCCTACGTAGCCTCTTTCAAAATTTGCACACTGTTCGCTCCTATGGATATCTTCAGCTTCGTCAAACTTGTTTTCTAGAGATATCGTCTGGATAGAAATTATGCCGTCTCTCTTTGTCTTCCTCTGTCAAGTAACTCCTTGAATATCCTTCAACACAAGGATTACACAGAGCTCAAATCAACATGAAGATCACGTAGACGGATGATGTCTTGTCCTTGCCATCAGCAACGTACTTCATGAAAGCTACAGCTCCCTACACTTGCATCTAGGGTTCTCTCATCATCTTAGAAATAGTCATGGTCATATTGCAGAGCAAACAAGGTCGTGTTTTCTAATGCGATTCTCAAAATAGGATCTCTCTCTCGATAAAGTTTGATTCAGCTAGTATTTCTTGCGATTGAGTAGACGCCGAAGACGGGGTAAGCAAGCTAGTCTGAATATAAGCTGTGGAAACCCCGACAACAAAACATACAAGGAGCTAACACCCTTCAGAGATATCTATCCCACTAAATGTCTTGGTAAAAGATATCAGAAAAAGCCTAAGTTCCATCATAACAAAATTGCGCAAAGACTAAACGTATTGAATTTGGTACAGATCTTTGTAAGGTGTGCTTGTTGAGAAGGGGAAGAGCGGGCAACGCTCCTCAACCACAGATGACAAGGGTGTCGGGTGTGGGGCCGCTCACGCTCCACCTTTCCCAAGCTGGTTGATTCCTCAAGATCAGACAAATCTTGGAACGATTGTCTAGGCACTACGAGGCTGTCAAAGCCACAATACTCATAGAGGGAGGGCGAAGTGTGGATTCTTCGGCTACATAAGGCCGCACGGCAATGTAAGCAATCACTCCCTATTAGCGAATATGATCGGTCAACGGAGTTACATGTACCAATCACGCGGGGCAACCTTGAGGGAAGTTCGCCAAATCGCAGGTAGATGCTCGCTAATTTGTAGTGGGATCCCGGGGGAAAGACGCTAAATTTTAGGCGTCACCCACTATAAGGTATAGGTTGTTTAGGGTTTTAAAGAGGTGTTATGGCCCTCGCTCAGCGAGTCTTGCTTCATGAATTCGAATGAGTGGGATGGCCTCCAGGCTCAGCTCGATTTCTATTCACAAGAAAACGCTCGCCGAAAATTGCTATCCCAGCTCGTGGTTTTCATTCTCGGAGCTTATTGCCCTTGGCAGCTATTGGGTTTGTTGCTGTGAAGAAATAAATTTCCCTTCCTTTGGGTCAAGTGATATCAATTGTTACTTTCACGTGACGCCGACCATTTCAATTTTCACTTGCGTGGCGCGGGGTTTTTAAATTTTATGCTCGACATTTCATACAGTGAGTTGGATGACTTCAAGAAGATTTAAATCAGCCCTGAAAAAACGCATCAGAAGGAATCCAGGAGACATGCTGCTGGGATTTCCCAAGAAAAATGTCGTCGGCTCGCGACAATGAGGTTGTGGATGAGAGCCCTGGCTCGGTTCCTAGGTATCATCTCACGGCTTGCGTACGGTGCCGACAGAAGAAGAAACGATGTGATCGGAAGTTGCCGGTACGTGATACCTGCTGAGATTAATGATGCCAAGACCAACCTAATAAATTGAGTACCAAGACTTGCAAACTGTGTGAAATTGCCGGGGTTGAATGCATTGAGTATGATTCGATAGCTCAGCGCCATGTTCCCCGGAGGTGAGACCCAGCTGTGGCCGAGCCTGTTGTGCAAACTTCTGACCCGTCATTATTTCATCAGTTACGTCCAAAATTTAGAGGACCGCGTGGCATATCTTGAGACAATGCTACAGAGACGTGGAATCAACTACCTGAGCCCTGGTAGTATGGCTGAGGCTGTCGCATTTTCGCCGACGGAGGCGTTGGCTGAACCTTCAACTCTTTGGGAAGAAACCCCAGAACTCAGCTGGCCTATCTCAGAACAGGAAAATCAGGCCAACGCGCCTCAAATTGACCAGAGCGGACCTATAGCATCAGCCATGTGTTCTAGCTGTGCAGCTGCCGCGGCCGCTAGGGACACAAGGGATACCCTGGATAGTCTCATACGGAGCAAACCACATCATGAGCCTGGATTCTCAAAGCTACTCCTTTCTGACCTGATGAAATTGAAATCAGGTAGGCGAATGGCTAGGTCTGGACAAGGCGAAGCCCAAGACGCGTTGGACAAGGAGTCTTCGCCAGATTTGATGAGCGGCCTGGACACATCCCAAGCATCTCTTCCTACTCGAGATGCGGCTCAAAACATCACTAATGCGTATTTTCAATGGGCTCGCCTGGGAATGCCCCTACTTCATGAGCCAACCTTTCGTCTGAAGCTGGAGCTGCTGTATGGAATGCCGCCCGAAGTCGACTTTGCCTCGACTCATACTAGCCACGAGTCTAGAATGGCAGTTTTTTTTGTGTACGAAGTCTTTGCGGTAGCTCTCGTGGTCATGCAAAAACAAGAGCCCTCAAAGATCCCCACCTTCATGGCAGATCGATATCATCGAACTGCGCTTTCAGCGCTAAATGAAGCCGGTCTTCCTACAGATGTGGAAGGCGTGCAGGCTCTCCTCCTTGTCGCTCAGTACTCTTACCACCACCCCACAGCCTGGGCTGTCTGGAAAACCATAGGAGCTGCTCTGCGGCTCGCAGTTGAGCTGGGTCTTCACCAAGATGCAGAACTATCAGAAGACATCGACGCTCTTAAGCTAGATACCATGAGGAGGGTATTTTGGGTCGCATACTCCATGGATCGGAGTGTTGCCGTGACTTTATCACTCCCATCTTGTCTATCAGATGGTGCGATCAACACAAAGGTAGGCGATTAAGTCGGATAGTTTTTGGTCTTTCTCCATCTTGACGCTTAATAACCATGTGTTAGTTTCCCAGCCTTGTGAATGACGAATATATCACGACAACGGGACTCGATATGACCCAAAACCGGCCATTTTGGACCAAGAGTATAAGCATACATTTATTCCGCTACCGCCGGCTTCAATCAGAAATTCGAACCATGTTGTACGAGAATCTGCCTTCAGGGCACTTATCAGTGAACTTGCACGAATGGCAAAAAGATATGGACCGGAGACTTCACCAATGGTACGGCGAAGTCCCTCGATCCGAAACCTTAAACAGGTATGAGATGACAGATGTGGAGAACTTCGAATTATCTATGCAACGTGCGCTGCTTCTCCTTTACCAACCGTCACCAAACATGCCAGACCCTCCCGGTCCCACTTTGCTAGTCATTTCCAACATTGCAAGCAAGTTGATACAGATTTACCGTCGGTATTTCCGTGAGTACAGACTTACGATTTACTGGCAAGCTGTGGAGAGCCTAAGCTCGGCGGGAACGGCCCTCATATATAGTTATGTGAACTCAGCTCAGGTTCGGGACTCTATCCCGCTCACCCAGCTTGAATCTTTATTTAGTACGTGCTCGTCCGTTTTATGGGGGATGGTAGAACACTTTCCCGCGTTCAAGAACAAGCGGGATGCATTTGACATCCTGGCTTCAAAGACCCTGGCCGAGCTCTCTGGTGACCAAACAGAGGTCTTGAGGGATACGAGCAAGCGGACATACTATCCCGGCACCCAGTGTGACACATCAAATGCCATTCGCAGCGTCAGTTTTCCCGCTGTCTCTCAGCTAGAGCTAAATCAGCAACCGACATTTGGTTGGGCTAGGCAAGGGAACCACTACTATCCAGGCACAATCACCTCCGACACGCGCCCAGTGGTACCTGATGGTCCTTCACATACCACAGATTCACCCCAAAGTGGAAGAAATGTGGGCACATTCGATCCTCAGCTTTCAGACGTGGGTTTAGATGGTGATGAAACTCTCTTTCGTCTCTCTGATTGGCAAGCGGTACCAGATACGAATGACGTTTTCGCCCCTGCTTGGATATAGCCGCGGCCATGGGAGTTCTGTATTCACCCTGGTAGAACACCTTCCTACCTTACCTTAGCATCCCCTAAGAGTGAGAAAAGCATAAATATAAAATCTACAATCTTAGCTCTAAGTAAAGATCAGTACAAGACACCCAGACCATGAGATATGAAAGAATCCATTGCTAAGCTGTATTTGAAGCACTAGCTAGACCTCGTTTGCAAAACTATCCGCGATATAGGAACCAATCATAAATAAGTTAACTCCAACCGGCAATACCTGAAGGAACAAAGTCGGCGCATCCAGTGACATGAGCATGCCGAGGACAAGCGAAAATACCAGCATGCCCAGAGCTGGCAAAACGTATCTTGACCTCCATCGGGGTTGCTGGAATTGGGCAAGAACGCAGGATGTATGGATAACAATCGCGCCCGACAGAATGAGGAGAAGTAATTCGCAGTTATATAGTCGGAGCAATGCTGGAGGGAGCGGGATCGGTGGTGTCTTCAAGGTCTCAGGATTGCAAACCTATGAGAACATGTGTTAGAGGTGGAAAGCTGAGAACTGGAGTGGTAAGGGAAGGTACTGGAAATGTAATCGAAGAACCCAAGCGCCAGCAACTCCAAACATCCTGTTCCTCACGGCGGAAGCCGCAAGGAATAGCAACGAGAGCGACAGAAGCCACCGAAGCGGCAACAATCCGAAGAAAGGATGTGTTTGAGACCCTCAATGGTGAAGTTTCGAGGGAAAGGTGCGGCCAGCCATCAGTAGTCACGATTTTCTCGTAGTTTCTCTCCTCGAGCTGGGACGCATGTCGAGTTGGGTTCGGAGACAGGGCCAAATGCATACCCTTTCTTTCACGCTGGGTATATTATAGAAGGAATGATGGAGGATCGTTCCTTGCCGCGTGAGTAACAGGTGTGATGATTTCTGCGGAAGGAAGTTTAGCAGATTTAACCGAGCGGTATCCCAGGAGATATCAACTAGCGAATCATTCTTTGAGGAATTTTGTGTACGAATCAAATTGCAGAGCGAGAGAGGGGTAGTACGTGGCGTTGTTCAGCTGAACTCGCGCAGCTGACGCATCTTTGATTCGCCCAGCCCCCTTTCTTGTGCCAATGGGCTTGTCTAGGTTGCTATTTTCTCTTTTCTCCCCTGCGCCTAGTTCAATCAATGATGAGGGTTTGTCTCGCACTGCTGTCATCAACCGCCAATTTCTAGACCTCCCAACCACTGTTTTTCCTCCTGTCGGAGTTGTTCCCCCTATCTACGCGCAAATCCACTCGGTACTCTTACTGAAATTACATCGCTCGAATCTCGCGATACCCAAAGCTACGCTACCAACCTGACAATTCAATGGGCAACGAATGGCTACTTTATTCAAACGCCTGCCTGTCGCTCCTGATCCTGCTCTCCAAGAGCCAGCAGGAGAGTCTGAGTTGGACAGCCTATATCACCGGCTTGTAAGGCACACCTGCTTCACCCAAACCTCCCATCGCATGAAAAAACTAACACCTCGGGAGCTAGAGTCGTCCTGGCTTGGGCACTGACGGGACTATGCCTTCTCGTGGTACACCGCCGGCTTGTGGCGAAGTAAGTCACCAGCAAATAAGTAAATAGACCTCCATAATGCCACATAACTGACAGTGAACAAGATACCGAATGACGCTCATTCTCCTGACACTCGCCATCTGGGTAACTCTGCTATTGGTGATGCAGCAGCCACCGTTAAACGAAGCCGTTCTCCTTCTCCCTCTAGCGACGACAATCACGACTATGCTTTTGACGGTTTACACGGAACAAGAAAATCGACATCCCCTCCCACCCCCGAATGCGATGGTTCCCCATCAACAATAGGCATCTTCGAGTTTGGAGGGAATTACGAAAGAGCCCCGACATTTAATTCCACTTTGCCGGACCTGTGTTATGGAAGGAAATTTTATGAACCACCGCCGGATGATAGACTCCCTCCTAAGCGTCGTCGACGAACATCTCCCAGGCCTGCAATGATCGAGAATAAAGACTGTGGGGAAAATGCGCTTATTATTCCTCGAAACGATGGCTACTTCCACTTCGCATGCCCTTTTTATATCCCCAATCCCGAGAAATATAAGTCTTGCCTTCTACGCGACGATCTTCAGTCTATTGACGATCTTACCAAGCATTTGGTTCAGAACCACAAAACATCACCGTACTATCCTATATGCAGACGAGAATTTGAAAGCCCAGAGGCGCGTGATCAGCATGTACTCACGAGAAGCCGTACGGTCCAAAACTCTATCGATGCCAATAATATAAACGAACGGCAACGGTTTTGGCTTCACAAGCGGGATGCGGTACAGCTAGGCGAGCGAGGACGCTGGTCACGTATCTTGAACACTATCTTCCCTGAAACTCTGCCACTCAAGCCATCCTATCTCTATGAGATCAAAGATAGGGCGATGGCTATGATAACCGGCTATTGGGAAAATGCGGATGTGATCATGTCTAACGAGCAACTAAACGATCTTCCTCGCCTGTATTCATTTATTTTGCAAATACCAGGGGCTTTTTATGGGTTGGTATGGGGTGATTTCTATAATGAACGAAAGAAGATCAGGATCCAGGATATCGTGTTGGGGGAAGACACCGTCAACCGGCATTGTAATTGCAAGCGGAAAAGCACTTAGGGAGGGTCTTAGAGAAAGGTAAGATCTACAAGTCCTGGGCTCTTTAAACTTAACTTGATAGCATCACGGAATGCATCAACTCAAGCTACCTAGGACTAGTGAGTCATGGCCTACTTATTAACTTATGTAGGATTGACTAATTGGCTAGTTTTATCATATCTAGAAAAAATAACAACCTTTGAACCTCCTTTCAATCTTGGATCAAAAATCTCCTTCTGAAAAGATATATTTCTTATAACTTTATAACCATTGAAGTAAATTAATTAACTATGTGGACTTTTCTTTAGAACAAATCCAGCATTGCATAGAGTACGCCGAAACTCTGTCTACCTAAGTTATTGTCTAAAGGGGATGAGGACAATTATCATCCGGGTTCGATGCTTCAGTATTAAAGCTATCACTACCAGTATAATTTTACCCAAAAGGCCATCACAATCTTTTCGGGGTTCGAAGCTTTTCATTTATACGATCTTTTATCTACCAGAGGTATTTTGTAAGTGCACAACCTTCGTCATCTTTGCCTGCGTCACGCAATTGTTTGCTAAATGAGCCCCTTGGCTCGCACATCTGTGACCCTGACGCCTAAGTACTCTGAGCCAACCGCCCCATCATCAGTCACGGTTCGCTTTTTCTTCATCATGAACCACCACACTTTCCTTCTCCAGAGTATCGACACGGGAAAGACCAGGATTTGTCTCCACAAGTGGCCTGTTGCGAAGCTGATTCCAGACAGTCTTGTGAGTTGGTCGAGAAAATAGAGCATCCATATTTTCCAGTGATACACCTAGATCGATATCATGTTAGAAGGTTTTCCATGGATAATAACTTAGGAAATGATGAGTCTTACCCTTGGTTTCAGGGATACAAAAGAATGCCCAAATCCCCATGGCAATGACAAATCCTCCAAACATAAAGAAAGTTCCATAACCAAGATCTGTGATCATGTATGGCGTCGCTCGCGCCACTACAAAGGAACCTAACCAGGTCATTGCAGTCGATATCGCCACGCACATCATGCGAATATCAAGCGGGAAGATCTCGGAGGCGTAGGTCCAAGTAATTCCCTGCCAAGTTGCACAAATGATTGTTCCATTCAAATAAATGCAAACCTAAATCAATCAGCATCGTGCAAAAGATGGAAGGCCATCGCACTTACCATGGCGAAATACGCCCATCCGTTTTGTTGTATGTTCCCATCGATTGCGTTCTTTGCTGGATCAGCTATTTTCACGTAGCTGCCCACGTACCAAAGTGGTAGGCAACCAAGAAATGAGCCCCAGAGGAGCCCTCCGCGACGTCCAACGCGCTCCACAACCCAGAGTGCAAACATGATCATTCCGATCAGTTTAGCAACGCCATACACACCGGTACTTAGAAGCTTGTTACTGGTTCCCGTGACACCGAGAGTCTCGAAAATTCGAGGACTATAGTAGGTCATGATGTTGACTCCTGTAAATGACTGAAGAAACATGAGGAAAGCCCCGGCACCAACACGGTTACGGGTACCCTTGGTTAGCAGCTTCTTGAACTGGTTTTTGAAGTCGCTCTTGGAGCTTCTTTCTTCGACCTGGAGACGAATCTCTCTTATTTCGTTTTGGATATAAGGATGTTCGGAAGGCAGGTTGCGAATCTTGACCAAGACCTTTTCGCACTCCTCAAAGTTGTGGCACTTTGCAAGCCATCGAGGTGACTCGGGACAGAACATGATACCAAAGAACAGCAAAGTGGCCGGAAGACATTGGAGAGCCAACGGGATAATCCACTGTGCGTCCTTTTTCACGTCGATCGTCTGGTTGGTGGCGTAGTTGATCCAAAACCCGAGCATGCCGCCGCTTTGCGAGACAACTTCAAAAAGACCAACGAGACGACCCCTGATGCTGGGCGGAGCGGTCTCGGCAATGTACACGGGAACCGTCATCGTGGCCATGCCGATTCCTAGGCCTCCAACCGCACGGCCAGCGATGATCAGCTCTACAGTGCCATTCGCAGCACACATCATCACACCGCCGACTATGAATATGGCCGCTGCCAGCATGATAGACTTCTTGCGACCAAACTTCTCCGCAAATGGAAATGTGAGAATTGAGCCGAAGAAGCAGCCGACCTGGAAAGTGGATGTGATATTGGCTTGTGTACTATCACGCTCTCCGCTCGGCATATCCTTCAGACCAAACTTTTCAGTGAAGGAGTCCAGGGCCATTGTCCCACCAATAACAGCGGTGTCATAGCCCACTGCATTGAATCAAAAGTTAGCATCTTCATTGCAATTGGCGGGTGCCAAAACATGACGGGGAAACTTAGAAGGGGAGAGAAATGTACTAGATAACGCCGCCATAGATGCCACGAGAGCGATCAGATGAATCGTCCAGTTGCGGACTTCAGGGGGGTCATTGGTCCCCTTGGCCGTGGCGAACCCCATTTCGTTCTGATTTAAGTGAGAGTTTTCTCTTTCCGTTATAAGCCTTTTGTAAATGAGAAGAATTGTCAAGTAAAATTGAACAATGGCCAAGTACGCTGCTTTTAAGTTGGCGTAGTCTTCTCCCCACATCTGGGGAAGCACAAGTGAACAGTTGTATTCCCGGCAAGCGGCCGCACAGTTTCCAAGAGCTTGTAACCCTATCAGATGACCAGGTGATTTCATTCTACCTCTGGCCGTATTCCCTGTCACAGGTGGAGAGTGAAGGGATCAACCAATCGCTGTCTCGGAAGCCTTGCTGTGACACTACCCATGTAGCTCTCCTCCCCGCAAAGTCATACGTGCGGGGAAGGCGGGGTGGCAACGACCGAAAAGAAGCTTAAACCATGGTGCGGGTTTTGCGGGAAATAGCCGAAGCGGGATTCTTTGTATTAGATTGCTAGTAGTTGTGGTTTTGTTCGAGTCAAAGACATCAGTCGGCATAAATCATTGACATCCGGCCGACGGAAGGGCCTCTCAGTCATGCCAACTTCTCCCATCGTAATTTGGGTTGTTTTGACAATATCGACTGGGGTTAATCAACTCCTCGTAGGGTCCTGCTTCTCCGACATTCATTCTCTTAAATAAATAGCATTGGGCCTTAACTCCATGGAATTTCTAGGACCAGGTACTCCAGGGGTGGATGGAGTTCCGCACGCCGGCAAGGAGCTCCATGCCCAGATACTCCAACTTGGCCAAATTCTAGGCTAGAACGGCCATTGTGAGTAGGACTTGCAACTTGATAACCGTTCTATCGAGGTAACGTATTGGAGCTAACTGTTTAATATTATCTTTTGATTACGAAGTTGTAAAGTGGACCATGAACGCTTCTTGGAGTTCTGTAGCGTTCTCTGTCTAGGTTCTGTATGCTGAAGAATTAATACCTGAGCAAAGCTCACTAGAAACTGAACCCCTAACGAGTAGTCTATGAATCTAATGCTACATTTTGCGTCTAGAAGAAAGCTACTTTCTTACTCGTTTTATCTTGGCGTTCAATCACACAATTTTCGAACAACTTAGTGCCCGTGTAAGTAATATTCCCTAGGTTTCAGCTTATGTGCATTGTGATATGAATCCTTTTGCTTAACTATTACTCTACTGATAATGTCTTGGATTTTACTTAATATTTTGAGCGTAAATGCACTGAATAGGTATTTATGTTGACAGATCTAGAGCACGTGCTAGAAGAATCAGGAGGCATAGGGTAGGTCAAAATGGTGGGCTTGATCAAACATACAAACGACAAGTTAATCCGATATGCGACTTTTTGGCAAAAGTTTATCTAAAATCGAACATTCGTTACGATTCAGAATTTCCCCCTCAATGCGTACTGTCTACGAAAGATATCATTATGTAGTCAAAGGGTAGTTTACCAGAAGTGTTGCCCAGACCAGTGTTCCAAACTACTTACCCTATAGCTGCGCTCACCCCTGTCGTGCTTTTCAGGGGAAGCAACTAAAATTTGTTGCCAGCACATGCTAGAACGAACTAATGGCTCGTGATGAAGATGCTTCCTCTACTCTCGGTTTTGGTAGGAATATTGATTTGTCCGGCGCAGCTTTCCATGTGACTGAATACGTATAAGAGACACAAAGGTGCTACTTGCATGTGTCACCGAAGCGACTCGAAACAGCCAGTCGCAGCGATTCCAATACGTCTTCAGGACTGAGGCACATCGAAAATGGGCCGGGCTGAGAACAGTGGCACGATAATTGATGGCTTGGCTGGGCACATGACCAGGGTGTGCCCGCGGCCTCCCGCCAAACAATCGAAATCTCTCGCCGCGCTCCCCGTGATCTGCAAGAGCCAAGTGTGCGGTATTAATCTGTGTGTGTCTATTCTTCGCCTATCGCCGATGGATGCAGATGGATTGATGATGCGCATCGGTGTCGAGAAGCGCGTGAATGGGAGGAATGCAAACAAGCAAGCATCTGCTGTCGGGTCGCATTCGGCGGGTCAAAATGACACCTCATCTCATCGTCCTTCGCTTCAGACACCCCTAAAAGCTCGTTAATCGGGCCTGCATATGGTGCCGGGGCGGTGCGAGAAAAAAAAACTGCTGCAGGACAGCACGGGAGGAAAGGCCCGACAAGCATATGAATCTGGTTCAGTGAGTCACACCAGGAGTAGATCAATACGCACACGAGAATTTCTGAGGACGCGGTAATCAAGGAAACATCCTTGCCAGAGAGCGGTGCCTGATGCAAGACCACTGATTTGAATGCAATCAGACCAGATGCCTCCATATAGGGCTATGATAGGCCAGCTCGACCGTAGGCACGGATCCAGCTCCAACCCAGGCTAATCTTAGCATCTGGGCCTGTGATTCTGACACGTCCCTGCTCCTCGGGCACCCAAGATCAGGAGACGTCCCAGTGTCGGCTGATGGCAGCGCTCAGCTCGCTCGCCTGTGCTCCCCGCCCCCTGGCCCGCGGGATCAACCCTACTGCGCCCACTGCAATGGCGTGTCAGATCTGACTGCACCGCTTGCCGAAAGAACGTTGCATGATGTGGTACTGGGTGGAAATCAGGCTACCGGGCCTCT